TAGTCGGCGTGTGAAGGACATAACTTTGTTGGCGCACGTGTTCCAGTGGAGTCGGCTTTTGAAGATCGATACATGGAGAGAACTACTAGTGGACCTATGAAAGACAGACGTATTGTTGATTTCTTAGCATTCGGGTGGCCGATTAATGTGGAGCCGGAATTGTATCAACGCCCGGTCGACGTATCCTTTCAGAATCATTACTCAGCTAGACATTATGCGGGACATGTAGATGCGTTTATTTCCAAAGAACTTAGTTTGGGTGCCATAGCCGGACCATTTGATTCGAATCCTTTTTCGTTCCCGGCGGTGCCGATTCCGTTACAGACAGTAGAGAAGAGAGACAGTATAGAGAGAAGAGTTGTAGTAGACTGCAGTTTTCCGGCAGGTTTCTCTATTAATGATGCTGTTCCCAAGGATTATTATTTAGGACAGGAGTTTAAGTTGACCTACCCCTCCGTGGATACATTGTCGCATATGATATTAGACAAGGGGCGTGGCTGTTTATTATACAAGACGGACTTGAAACGAGCGTATAGACAAATTCCGGTTGATCCCAAAGACTACAAGTATTTGTGGTACTGTTGGAGGAACAAGTGGTATGTTGATACAAGGTGCCCTTTTGGACTTCGTTCTAGTGCTTTTATTTGTCAGTCAACCACCTCTGCAGTCACGTTCATACAACAAAAGAAAGGTTATTCAATTTGCAATTATCTAGATGATTTTGGGGGAGCAGAGTACCCTCAAGTCGCGATGGAGGCCTTCAACAGTTTGCAGGGAACATTACACAGCCTGGGGTTGGAAGAGTCGGTTGAAAAAGCGGTGGAGCCTACGACCTGCATGACATTTCTAGGGACTGAGTTTGATACCGTAGCGATGGTGAAGCGAGTCCCACAGTTTCGGTTGGAGGAAGTGAGACTGTTACTTGACGCGTGGATTGACAAGAAGAAAGCTTTGAAACGCGAGCTTCAGTCACTGATTGGGAAACTGGTATTCGTGTCTGCGTGCGTGGCACCTGGACGTCTTTTCATTTCGCGCATGTTGGAAGTACTACGAAGTGTCCGCAGGAGTCATCATAGAATTCGGTTGTCTCGTGACTTTAAGCTGGATGTGCGTTGGTGGCGACGTTTTATGACCTTGTTCAATGGAGTCTCACTATTGACTCCGGACATCTATTGTGCACCGGATGAAGTTGTGGCCACGGATGCGTGTCTGACAGGGTGCGGGGGAATCTGTAATGGTGAGTTCTTTCACTCCAGGTTCCCGACTGCTGTTCTCGAACAATATGGAGCTAAAATACATGTCTTGGAGATGCTGACGATTGTGGTAGCGGCCAGGAAGTGGGGACCAGGCTGGAGAGGGTCCAGAATCGTGATCAACTGTGACAATATGGCGTGTGTTTATGTGTTGAATTCGGGACGTTCAAGAGACAAGGATTTGCTTCATAGTGCGAGAGAACTTTGGCTGATCGCGGCATCGTGCGATTTCGTCTTACGGGCAGAGCATATTCAAGGACGGGAGAACCGAGTCGCCGACCACTTGTCGCGATGGCATCTCTCATCGAAACATGCTGAACAGTTTCACATCTTGACAGAGGATGTGGACACGATAGAAATACCGGTATTTCAGGAAGATTTCGTCCTGGATTGCCCTTACTGACAGTTTGCTTTCTTTGTGTTTTATGTTGCAGCTGAGACAGACCTGAGCTACTTGCGAGAACAGGCACGTCGGACAAAATTTGCTGCCTTCGCGGAAGGAACTTGGTCAAATCTTAGAACACAGTTGAGGACTTATCTTTTGTTTTGTACATTTTATGATATAACTGCCTTCCCAGCCACCTTGGACACACTAGAGACGTTTTCTCAGTTTTTAAGTCGTTCTTTCAGAGCACCGGGGTCAATTGCAAATTATATTAGCGGTCTTAAGACCTTGCACACATTGTTCGGCTGGGACACTGCCGCGTTTGATTCACCGGACTTGGGCCTACTGAAACGGGGATTCAGCAAGCGAATGCAGCATACACCTCATCAGAAATTGCCGTTCACTCCATCAGTGTTGCACAGGATTTATGAACAATTGGACATTTCAGTTCCTTTTGAAGCAACGATTTGGACTATTGTATTGTTAAGTTTCTTTACTTTCCAGCGGAAGTCGAACTTCTTAGCTAAGAGTACATTTGATCCTACTAAGCAGTTCATGCTGAGAGATTTTGTGGTACACAGAGGAGTATTGTTAGTCAGAATAAGGTGGTCAAAAACACTGCAATGTGCTGAACGTGTCTTGTATGTACCAGTGCTTGAGATACCGAACTCGCCGTTATGTCCTGTGACTGCATTTCGCAATATGGTTAGTCTCAATACGAATAGGAACACAGAGGCTGCGTTTGTAAAGCCCTACAAATCTACCTTTGTACCGTTAACTCAGAATGTGTTCGACAGAGAGTTTAAGAGAATTCTAGTTAGAGCTGGTTTGGATCCCAGATGTTATTCATTGCATAGTGGCCGTCGCGGAGGTGCGTCATTTGCCTTCCACGCAGGTGTACCAGTTGATCTTATTCGTATTCAAGGTGACTGGAAGTCAGATGCTTATTTACTGTACCTGAAGGTTCCGTTAGAAAAACGTTTAGAACTCTGTGCTAGGATGGTGCATCAGATCCGCACAACTTACTAGTAGCTATATTGTGTTTAATGTTGATTACAATGTTGTTTTAAGTTGGTTGTGGTATGGGGGACGTTATTTTGTTTGTTTCTTTCGTTGTGGGTCATTTTCTTTTCTTTTGCAGTTTGGCCTTCTTATTTTGGCGTTTTGTTTTGGAAAACAATTAAACTTTCCCATTTCAGGCCACTCCTGCTTGTTCTATCTTGATTGTTAGATAATTTGGGAAAAATTGTCCGCATGAAAATTTTTCGTAATTAGAAACAACTAAAAGATTTCGTTCGGCCCACAAACCACGTGACCGCTCCCCCCGTGACCTTCGAACTTTCTCAGTTTGTTCTGTTTTTGGGGGAGACGGTTCATGTTTTCGGTCCGCTCCGCTTGAATTTCGACCCACCACCTCCCCATCACCACCTTAGCTATAGTGATAGTATATATACTGGTACGAGGTTAACTGTGGATAAGTTTGATATATGGTTACTAGTACTTGAATGTTCCTTGAACTTACTGAATGGCGTTTTGTTTTGGAAAACAATTAAACTTTCCCATTTCAGGCCACTCCTGCTTGTTCTATCTTGATTGTTAGATAATTATTATTATTTTTTTTTATGAACATATTGTAACTGTATTGGGGATTGTATGTTTTCGTATCATTATTAGGACTGTACGCCTATTGAATTTTTGCACAGCTACAATTATTATTGATTTTTACACAGAATGACATGCTCCAACCTGGCAAGTGCTCAACCACCTTCAAGCATGACCTATCTATGAAATTCAACTGTCGAAACCATTTACAACTGTCTAGCAGCGTTTGCCACTCTTGTACCCAAACAAACATTAGTACATACACACACCCCAAACCTGAGCCACTCAAAACAATACTTCCCCCCCAGAAGTAATTACACTGTACAACATGATTCACAGGCATCAAAAGTTCTATACAGATTATCCAGCTGGTTACACATTTGTAGGTCGACCTTACCTTCCAAGCATCATCTCGAAGAGAGCGAAGGTTGTGTGGTACAAGTCGGAGTAAGACTTCAGGTGAGTCCCGAAGATAAGGTATCCTGAAACAGCAACAGAAACAACAGCATAATCTTATTATCAGCCTTCAGTAGTCCCTCATCATTTGGGGAACAATGCAATAAAGGATATGATATTAATGGTGTAGATCTGTATCAGTTATGTCGCTCATTTCCATTGTATACATGTTAACTACTGTGATTCATTCATTCAATGATATTCATTCATTCATTCATTCGCTCACTCGTCCACTCATTCACCTACTCATCCAGTCATTCATTTGCTCACTCAATCATTCATTTGCTCACTCATTCTTTCATTTTCTCACTCATTAATTAAACAAAACATTCATTCATTCATTCACTCATTTACTCATTCATTTGCTCACTCAGTTATTCATTTGCTCACTCAGTTATTCATTTGCTCACTCACTCATTCAATAAAACATTCATTCATTCACTCACTCATTTATTCATTCATTTGCTCACTCACTTATTCATTTGCTCACTCACTCATTCAATAAAACATTCATTCATTCATTTACTCATTCATTTGCTCACTCACTTATTCATTTGCTCACTCACTCATTCAATAAAAACATTAATTCATTCACTCACTCATTTACTCATTCATTTGCTCTCTCACTTATTCATTTGCTCACTAACTCATTCAATAGAAACATTCATCCATTTAATGACATTCATTCATTTAATGTTTTCATACCTGCACTGATAAAAGATATGAAGGCGACGGCAGCGACGACTAAGAACGAGAGGAGCTCGTCCTTCATGATGCCGGGAAGTGCCAGCAGTTTGCCGATGGTCTGACTGAAGCGGACGACACGGAGCAGGGCGACGGTGTTGATGAACACAACAATACCCACGGCGTGCGCGAGACACTCATCCCACCATGCAGCAGCTGTCAGGTCCACAAAACGTTCAAATCCCAGCTCACCTGTTGGGCGAGAGTTGATTCCAAAGGTTGGAAAATGTTAAAATCACGTTTTGACGATACTGCACAACATTCAATTCAAATAAAAAGAACTTTATTGCAAGACAATTACACATGGTACAGGGTATGGCAAACCACATAAAGAGAGTACTAAGTAACAAACAATAAAAAATGTGTTGAATAGGACCTTATGTCGAATAAAACCTAATATATCTTAATTACTCAAACAACAAGGGCTAGCACAAGTCTTTGATAAAGTCTTACAATCGAGTGGGCTCATCACAAGTTTTTTTCTAATAACAAAGCAGTATATATATATATATGTATATATATATATATATACCTATTTTTGCGTTGTGGGAATCATTACTTGTATTTGATATTCGTTTCATTCATAATTTCATTTCAAGGAAATATGCAACATAAAACAGCGCCCAAAACTATATCCTGTTGAAATGGCAAATGGGGATGATGATGGGGCAATATCGACTTTATCAAACTTAATGACTCTTTGCTAATGTCACACGTGAAAAAAGTCAGTGATTGTGTCACTGGCGTCATGATAGTTAGCTAAGAGGATGACTGAACGAGTCCGTCGAAATGTCCAAGTTTTTGTACAATGTAGTTGGAGAACACTTAAACAGTTCCACATGTAATTTATCAACTCTGGTGAACTACATACTAAAGATACAAGGCCTTGATATTTTATGAACATGTATATCAGTAAAGCCACAGCAAGTAATTTCTATGGATTACACCAGCGCGCGCATTAATTTTCACCTGATTTGGGGGAAAAACAAGAACTTTTGTTGCCCTCTGACCGCCGATAATGGGCAAAGATGTCTGTTGCCATGCCGTAACATGGATGGCAGCTAAATATGAAGAGAGAAGACAAGGCTCTGATGTAATGTTTTGTCTTTACTTTGATGCAGTGGTTTATTTAATTCCTTTTATATGTGACGTCCAACTGAATTAAAACCATTTGAACAATGATTAAAAACTTTCTATTCACCGAGAAATGGATGTTGAAGTAGTTGTCAGTAAACATAGCATAGTATAGATATCATTTCTTGTTTAAGTTCATGATGTCAAAATTTGAAAATGTAGCAATCTTGTTTTTTTTTTGGCCCACTTGTTTTTGTCGCCCTCTCGCATTAGATTTGGCGTCTGTGAAGGAGGATTTCATCCATAAAATTTACTTGCTGTGGCGTAATGCATAGGTCGGCATACCATTAGTTTTGGCGATCACTGCAAGTGTATCAGATGCCACGGTGTATCGCTTGATGAAAACAGAGATGACTGTTGCCGTGCCGATGAGGCTTAGGCATCCGAGGGCATTCCAGGCCGACGTAAAATATTTCCATCCCATGTTTGTCAACAATTTTGACTCCTTGAACACCATTGCTGAGAAAAGCAGTGTGAATACAATGTGTATGAACAAGTTCACAAAGTCAGCGTTACTTTCGTATTGGAACAGACCGAACGAAGTGATTGTTGCCGCTGGCGCGAGATTACCTACTCCGGAATGATCTAGGACAAGGTGCACAACGCTGAACAACTTCAGGCTCGGGTTGTAGAAGTTTATGTCAATCGCCATGGAAACCGTGTACTTATCCAGAAATTCAAAGTCCTTCAAGGCACGGAAGAACGACACAGCGGAGTCATAATCAAGAGGCAAGTCCAGGGAGTGATGGTTGGTGGAGTTTAATGTGTGAAACTTGGTGTGATTCAGAAGATCCGGAACCGCAAATCGCCAGCAGGAATAGGACATGTTCTGTACAGACAGGCTCCAGCCTAGGCCAGCACCAGTCTTCCATGTACTGACATCTGCATTGAAAACAATCGTTATAGGAGTTGTTGGTTATGCAGTAGAATACTTACAATAGGATATACTTTGTCCTCAGCAACAAGGGTTGGGAGTGAGTGGCCAGGATCAGGTTTAAGGTGATCAAAGGGTTGTGACCTGGTATGCTCTGTTGTGGCCTGGTATGCTCTTGGTGTGGTATAGACTCGCCATCAATGTAATCATGGTATGAAATGTAAACCATTGTGTAATACTTGAGTAAGTACTGTCATACAATCATATATTGAGTAATATTGCAATCATGATGTAAATGCAATCAGGTATTTCCCTTCTTTTGTTTCAAAAAAGATTCCAAATCAGATTCCATAAATCACTTTTCGCAAGCAGTTCAATAAATTTGCCTTAAAAATGTACTGCAAGAAGTAAGACATATTCAATGACAATTCAAATGACGAAAAGGGTAAGAGACTTTTATGAAGCACACGATTTAACAGATCACCCAACAAACAGTGAAAACTAAAGATTGACCAGAAAGGTAACATTTGCAAATCAAATCACCTTCGCATAGGTCTGCTCTTACTCATTGACAAACACATTCAAATAAATGGTTAGACAGGAGTCTAAATCAATCCTGCTATAAAATTGCAACATGGTGTACCAAGGTTACAGACGTGTGGTTCAGGTCATTGACCGTATTTGTTTGGAGAAGAAGAGGAAGAAGAAGCAGAGCAAAACAATATGTTTTCCTTCCTGGCCCTACCTGGACGTCGTCTTACTTGCATCAAGCGAGGAGGGCCCACACGGAAGGACTCGGTGTTCTGTGCAAACTGACGGTCTAAGAACTTCATTTTCCTCCCGTTGTACCAGGTGGACGGGTACAGGGTCGGCAGCAGCACTTCTTCAGCCCACGTGTAGAACTGGTCGGGAGTCCTGATCTGTATGTAAAAATAACAATTTTTCACAACGCCTGAGTAGCATGCCTAAAAATACATGATTGTATTAGAAACAAATTTGATCTAGATTGATGTGTCAATGGGTAATGGGCCTGCATATGGTTAATGAACTCAATAAGAACATAGTATATGAAGTAATGTAAAAACTCTAACCAAACAGTATACAGATACTTTAAATTTTTGAATTTAAATAAACAGTAAAGTATGTTTATTAACTTGCAAAAATTCTAGCGATTCCCCTGGAATTTGTAGTACATTATTGCTATAGTAACATACATGAGTAGTGAGCCTCTGTCTTCATCGGAAGATCTGCAATGGAGACTACTAGTACTTGTTCCAATTCAGCAGACTTGTACCCGTTCAACATTGGATCAAGCAGTATTGCGATATCAACCTACTTTGTGCACATGCCCTAACATACTACCCCCTTCCCAGTCTTTGACCAAAAACAAAGAACTGAGCACTACCAATTAGACTGACTATGTTTACCTTCGCAGAGGGGAAACAATCATATTGTTTTTGCCCTGTTTCTTCTTCTTCCAAACACATAAGGTCAATGACCTTGACCAGACGTCTGTCACCATGGTAACTGTATCAAACATCCTGTGGTGTTGAGTTACATTAAACACCAAACATTTTTCCAAAAATGTGTTTGGCTAAGAATAAACAGAGCTGTAGTTTGTTGGGCTAGACCATGTGAAGGTTAACATTATGCATTTGCTTTGCGAATGTGGCCTCTCTAGTTGATTACTTACTTCGTCAAATCCACGTAGAACAGTGGTGGACAGCGTGCGTTTCTCATAGAAGATGTGTTGGTCGTTGTTTGCCTGGGCAATGTAGAAAAGGACGGCCACAAAGATGAACAAGAGAAGAAGCTCCTTGAGTGTCGAGGCTGACTTCTTACTGAGTTCCCGTTTCTTTCTAGCTCCTTGGCAGTTGGCTTTGGTAGGTGGGCGGATTTTTTTAGGTGCTGCAAGATAAAAACATCATTATAATTTTGTCATGAGAGTTTCACGGATGTTAAAACATAGTCATGATGAAACACAACAGCTACATCACATTTCAGTTGCTACAATGTGTTTTTGAGGTTAATTTTATTCGTCAGTTTTACTCTGGGAAAATATTTTGTTAGAAATATAACTGTCAGCTGAGAGACTTGTCAATGAAACCTGGCCTTCTGTTTGATGTACAGATAAATGGTAAAATTCTGATGATTCTAATTTTTTATTGTTTGTTTCTTTTAGGAAACCACGTAATGTGTAACTTAGTAAGGATATAGATTTTTTACGACTACATGTAAAATGCTCATTCCAACAGGACCTCAATCATATAACCTGTATCCTGCTGCACCTAGACCTCTTCCTTCCATAAATTATGTGCTCAATGAAAAGCTGTCAGCAGAAAGATTTGAGTTATTTTCATGAATAAACAAGGGCTCAAAGAAAACAAATTGACTGCTCCAACTTGTTAGAATTCTAACCTGCAGAGTTCCACAGGTTGAGTTTGAGGTCTTCCTTCCTTATAGCCGGCGGCTTGATGAGGAAGGACAGGTTACAAACTGCAGACAGCACCACGGCAAGGACGACGATCTGACATGACAAAAGTTAGACATGTTTAAACTTAAAACTTTTGATCCAACACAACAAGGTTCTCTCACCTAGAGCTTTCGACTGGTCACTCTGATCGTCCTCAGTAGACTAACCCAGTGAAGCTTGTCACGTGGCTTCTTTGAAATGTGACATCGACACTGGGTCAAAGGTATCTGGTAGGCGATGTCGGCCCCCGTCGCGGTTCAATGAAAGGTGATGGGCCCTGATGTATATGGCTTCCTTCACCCCTCTCAAGAAATAGTCTTGTTCAGTGTCCAAAATCCTTACGGCTTTACTGGGTCAGTCTACTGAGGAAGACCAGACTGACTGGTCGAAAGCTCTAGGTGAGAGAACGTTTTTTGTGTTGGACCAAAAGTTTTAACTTTAAACAGGTAAATACCAACACAGATGAACTTTCATGATGGTATAAGAGTTAGATATGAATAAATCATTTTTATTGCTCCACAATCGTGCAGCACAATGTATGGCAACAAAAGTATTAAAACAACTGTACCACAACGCTACCGGTAATCTGTCCTACATTCATGACTACAAGATATCATTGATAATAGCATCATATTATCATGTATGGATGATTTAGTCTCGCAACATAGTTCCACATATCATGTTTTACAATGATCGTGTACCATCAATCATGATCATTGATAAACCATATCACTATTGGCAACAGAAAAAAACACAGTACAGTAGGGATGGATACCAGGCTAGGTAAAATTCTTGGTCCTTGGTAAAATCTACCCGGAAGTACCAGAATCTGGCAGGACTGGTAGCAAGTTTGTTCGACAGCCAAAGACAGTTATGACTACCGAGATACAAGCTCTCTTGTAGCTAACGTTATCCCCCTGGCTGACTAAAATCTCCCTAGCCTAAAACTGCATTTTAGCTCCACCAGCCCTGCCAGAGTCTGGAACACAGGGTAGAATTAATTTATTAACAAGACTGGCAATGAAAACATACATTGCTATGGCGACGGTGGTTGCTTTTAAAGGGTACTGTTTGCATGGCACTGCCATGACTTCATGATTTTGAGGAGGCCTTGTACCCTCCCCTCCCCTGAGTGTATAGTGAACGAGCCCCGGGGTCACAGAAAGTACATGTAGAGCAGACTGGTTCTCCCAAGGGTTTCCGGGAATGTGGGCATGTCAACAAACAAAGCTGTGGGGACATTCCTGTGGAAATTCCATGCCTGTACAATTCCTAGAATTTTTGCGAATTTCACACAATACTTTCACATTAGGCTCCTCCCCGAGACGTCGCCAAAACCACGATCATTACCTGAAGAGTGTCCATCACGCAGCTGGAGCCCATGAAGGACAAGACGAAGGCCTTCAGCCAGGCGTCACTTCTCTCCTTCCCCCAGTCCATACTGTACAGCAGCACGAAGAACGCTGAGCCGGTGGACACCAGGAACACGGTCATCCACGCCACGTACTTAGTCCAGCGGTGCAGATGCTTCTTCACACGTCCTGGGATTCAACAATGTATCAGCTAACCTTTTTTTTATTCATGCCCTATCGGGCTAAGTACAGGTAAACAGATACAGAGGTGTTAACAGTAAACACAGGACTATGTACTGATACTAATCCAACAACATCAGCTGTAAAAGTACTCTATAAATACAGAACAACATTAGCTCTAGAACTAATCTATTACTGTAACAGAGGTTCGGCTTCTTCTCATTTCTTTGTGATGAATAAGCACGTTGATGCAAACAACTTTCAGTTTTCTGAGATTTCGAAGAACATGGAACTGGTGGATGACAGGAGCACAGTCACCCATGCCGTACTGATAGCCCAGCGGTCTGATGTTCCTTCACACGTCCCGGGATTCAACAATCCGCCGCTTGATGCAAACACATTTTAAGTGTTCAAACCTCAAAGTTGACTGGAATTTCTTTAGCCTCTACCGGGCTTTGGGAAGAAGCTGGAAAGAGTAGAAACTGGACAAATAGAGAGATAACATGCCACTACAGTTTGGCGTACCTGCTTCCTGAAGCCTGTTAGAGTCTAGGCATCGCTCAGCGTTTGCAACAAGAGCAAATGGGTCTTACCTTTCATTTATCATTTATCAAATATTTCTGGGATTGAAGTATTGTTTTGTGTGGCATTCGTTTGGAGGGATTATGACTATATGTTTGGGCTTCGATGTGAGTGGGCAGAGATTTGGTTTCAATTGACTGGCAGGGTTTTGGCCGGGTTTATCAACGGGTTATTTTATATTCTCTGCAAAACGTTGTCTGAGGGGTGAAACAATTTCCTAATTGGTAATCAGTAAAGATATCCTGACCCTTTTATTCCAGCCGGCAGAAGCACTGTGCCTGTCCCTAGTGCTGAAATGTTGGCTGCTCTCCATAGTGCTAAAGCTTACTGGAACTTTTGTTTTATTTCTATTGTTGTTGTGGCATATCGCCTAATGGCCTTTGGTATAAATATCAGCTACATATGTATGCCCGTGTATCAAGACATAAATACACTGTCATCTCCTTAACAAATTTGACGTGATCATTGTAATAAAAGAAGCTTGGTCCTAGTTGTCCGCTTCACGCCTGACAGAATGTTTTTCCTACCTTGTGTAATGATCAACATCTCTGGAGTAATGTTCATGTAATGAGACATAAACACTTTCATCTCGTTACCAAAAAAACATGACTTTCAAGCGTAAATAGTTGTAGCAAAAGACCCTTAAAGCTTGTTCCTTGTTTCTGACAAAATTTTTCCATACCTTGCATAATGACTGACATCTCCGCAGTGTTGGCAGCCAGTGGTGCCTCCATGCGGAAGAGCTGTACGATCATCAAGTTGACCGGAGCTACGGTCAAGGCTGTCATAAGGCTTGTGTACAGCTCCTGTAGAAATACAGAAAACTTAATTTTCTTTTCTTTTACAGCGGGTGTCTGAGCCTAGAGATTGCTTAATTTTAAACAATAGCCTCTGCTCAAGACATAGCCTGCCCCCCAGGCGGCTTGTTAAGCAAGGTAATGCAGCTGAACTTCAAGTTTAAATATCTCATGATCTAGACATGCCATGGTCACGAAATTTAAATGGCAGTTAGCTATTGTGCTGGGAAAGAAGTGATGCAAGTTTGGTTCCCCTAGCTGCTTGCTCTAAAACTGCAGGGGCAGTTGTTTAGAAATATTCAATAGAGGATAACTCAAGAAACGATAGACGGATCGTCATGACTTTTGGTATGTAGGTAACTCAAGTGGTGCTTGACATAATCGTGTGATAATTATGCAAATATGGATGTGATGTGCATAACTTATGATGATATTTTATACATCAGCTGCATTATATAATATGACTATTCAAGCGTGTAACTGAGAAAAAGAGAAAAACATGTTCTTACACAATTGGGTAATAGAGAAGTTATAAAGTTTCAATATACTATCGTATTCATTCTTTCTTTATTCTTTTAAGAACCAATAAAACACAATACATCTCAAAATAATACAGAACTCTAGAGACATACAAATAATACAGAAAAACCTAGATGCATAGTAAATCGTATAAAGTGTTTCGGAATAGTTCCTGTAGAAGGTGTCAGATTTTACTACCACATTTACTACCACCAAGGAAATCATCTTATTTTTCAGTTGATCATTTTGGATGCTTTATCGAAAAAAAGTGGTTTGATTTGCTCCAACCACCATGGCGGCTATACCTTGCAAAGTAAAAATCGGCAAGTCTTGAGGCAGATGCACTTGCCCGAACAGTACTTTTACTTGTAATGGCACCTGAAACTTTTGACACTTTTATTCCAAATACCACATTGCAGGCAAAATTCAGAATTGCGTCAGTATTTACAATCCTTTGTGCGCGTTTTATAATACACAACTTGTATTTATTTACAATTTATCCATTGTCCTCATCAGTAATGCTTAATTTTTATAAACAAGACATTTGCATTTCTTAATGATAAAAAAAAGTTAGCTCTCCAACCCAGGAACTAGTTTGAAATCTCTGATTTGTTGTTACCTCTACTGTGAAACGAGTGATCCCCAGGTTGTACACTTTCGTGTCAGCAGTTGTGTCATCTGTCTGGTACCACATGGCGCTGGCCAGCATCATGGTGTTCAGCAAAGTAAAGCAGCAGGACAGACGCTGGGCTTTGGTGAAGCTGGAACCTAGATGGAAAAGTTAAAGATAAAGTTAAAGTTAAAGTTAAAGTTAAAGTTAAAGTTAAAGTTAAAGTTAAAGTTAAAGTTAAAGTTAAAGTCTTTCCCGCACCACGTGGTGCATAGGACGGTGCCCATCTCCAGTTCAGTAGACCTTGGGCCACACCATTTTGCATAGTCCACCGGTAGTGGTGTGTGTATAACTTTTTTTTCACAAAGGCCGAGTACTAAGCAGAGAAATCAGTATGTAGCATTTTTAAGTCTTTTGTATGACTTGGCCACTATCTAAAATAAAGTGACAAAATTGCTACAAAAGCTCACTAGTTTCTTGACGTTTACAAACAGAAATATTACAATTAAACCTGGTCCATTATTTTATGTAGTTATGAAGTTAAAAAATCATGAAGTTGTCAAGAAAGAAATATTCAGACCTGGTGGTGCTACAAGGGCAGACGTCCACAGCTGGTGATCGTAGAACAGGTTGGTGGTCGCCTCAGTAAAGACGTTACTGAAGGACCTCAGCCCCTCCTTGGGGGTTGCGTGAACCACCTCCTGCACCTCTCCGTCACCTTTGTCCTCTGACAGCCAGTCGTGACAGCAGAAGTAAGTCCTATAAACAATCATAATTTATCGATTTGTAAAGGCATCATGGCGCTGGTTTAGTTAAAGGCATCCAGTGTAATTTCAGGGCAGCAAAACTTGATTTTCAAACAAGTTAGATTTTCTGCTCACTCTTGTAGCAAGTTGAATCAATCCGATTCAAAAGCTTGCTGATCTTTGTGAGGCAAAAATGACAATTTAGCAATTTATGGGCGGTAAGCAAAAATAAAGAGACAACTCACGTAGTTTGTGTGGGCTGTTTCAAACACTTTAAGTATACAATGATGATGACAATGTGCTAAGAAATGGCAGTAAGTGTCAATGAACACCGTCATTACACACAACAAGAATATTTTAATATATTTACTGTCATGAAATTGTATTGGATGCTTTAATGTGTATCTTGTCACGAGCCGCGAAGATTGTAAGGGACGGGAGGAGATTCGGTTTCAGTTGATTGTCAGGGTTGCGAACTGGCATGCTCTAGGCAATACAATAGGATGAGGTCACCAGGAATACATACATGGTTTGAAAGTTGAATTTTTGTTAACATAAATCGTAGTGTATTGGAGCCAGGTAAAGGGAACATTGGTCTCATTTCACCAAGCAAAGTATTTTAGTCGTTTGCAGTCTGTACATGTACTCAAGGGGCAGTCCGTTTTTCTGAACATTTTGAAAGTTGCACACACTCACAGAATTTCTTGCATGCTCAACATGCCTTGAGGCTATAAGATTGAAGTAGAACTTCATCAAAAGACTGAGTTCAGAATAGCAGCCAAACAGAAGGCGGGATATGTCTTCAGGGTCTTACACTGCATCCTTTTCTACATCTCTGACGAGAAAATTTCCGAGGAACCAGGCTGACGTGTCGCCTTCCCCAGAGTTATCATGCCAGATGCGCAACGACATCACTTCTCCAAGTGACTCTCGCACAGGCATGATAAAATGTAAAGTACTTCCACGAACCAAAGCCTGTAATCGATTGACAAAATTACATACAACACGTAACAATAATCTTTCTGTGTTGCACTTTTTTCGCACACCTTATAATGTTCTACTTTATGTTACCAGCACCTAGCATTGACATAATGATCATGGAACTATCTAAGTATATAGTACTTTAAAACACAAATGGTCTAATCAAAAACCACGATACACACAATACTATCAAATATATGACATTCCTTAATTTACAGAAAATAATTCTCTTTCAAGTGATGAAACCTCTATCTCATTAATGTGCTACATGTAGAAGACAGATTAATGAATTCTCATGTAAGAATGCCAATTGCAAAAGGAGTTATTACAAGTTCTCCAGTTATCACGTATTCCGATTTAAAGAACTTTTAAGAACTAGTAAATAGTGTGATAAACAATTATGGCCCGATCATGGAAAATTGTTTGAGTAGAGAAACAAACCCTATAAAAATACAAGGAGAACATAAGAATAAGCCTGACCTCTCTCCCAGGGTTCAGCACCTTGATCGGGGTCGTGCCCTCTGACCCGAAGAGTTGAAAGGCGACCCGTGAGGTGGTCCCTGCCCCGAACATGGCCCCGGTGGTGACCGTGAGCTGATAGACGTGAGGCGCGGGCATCCGGTCTGGCGGGATTAGACTCACTTTGGACAGAGTCTTCCTCTGATACTGGGAAATTTTACCCTAAAGTACACAAAATGGGGAATATTTAATATATAATATTATATACATGTATCTGATGAAGCAGAACCTGCACAATGTACATACATGCATGTACATACATAAATGGAACTATTGCAAATATCTAATGATTCTAGCTGACTAATCTACTTTAAAATTGATAATAACAATTATGTTTATACTCTAATATCAACTAGATCATATTAACTAGATCCTAATAAATTAAAAAGACATAATAGAAACCTGGCAGCACTGCACATTAGCGTACCGTGGGATTTGAGGTATATCCCGAGATCAGTACTGTACAACCAATATCTATAAATTACATTGTAACTGCCAAAACACCTACCACGTTCTAGCAACCATTGTCACTATAGAATTCAAACATAGAATGCAATCTACATCCTAAATCAGCCCGAAATAATACAGAAGTAATGACTAAAAGCATGCATTTTTAAAATATCAGACAAAGAACACCACATACGTCGATGAAGGTTAGACATCCAGATAGTAAGATACGCCAAAAAACAGTTACTCAAGCAACTGGATATGATTTTGGAAACGGTCAGACGTTTCAGCAAGTATCCACTAGCTTTCGTCAGTGACTGAGAGACCAGAGGAGCTTTGTGACTAATTTGCATCATCTTGTCTTGACTTGTCTATCTTTTTAGACTCCCAACAAATTGTCTTCACTTCTTTGCATATTAATCAATAGTTTGTGCCTATAAACCTGCATTTCTCCTCTTGTCTCTCAGTCACTGACGAAAGCTAGTGGATACTAGCTGAAACGTCTGACGTTTTCAAAATCATATCCAGTTTCTTGAGTAACTGCTTTTTGGCACACCACATGTACATAGTTACTCACCCTTAACCTGCTGAAGTCAGCACACAGAAGCACCATGATTATGATATACAGGATGTACTCAGACACCACGATAGAGAGCACTACGGCGTTGTCACTCAAGTTGCTGAAGTTCTTGAACGCGTTGAGAAAGTCGATGGAATTCGGGGTGGGGAGGGTCATGGTGCCGACTGCAATGCTTGTCCCGGTTGAGCGACATTCACAGTGGAAAATGTTGTTGTCTATGTCAAGTTTAGCCTGATTTTGAAAAATAATTATGTGGAACTGTTACATTAATTTTGTTCTTAAGTATCTGGGGGAAAACATGGCTGTGGCAGTAACAATCATGGCAGTTGAATATTTAATATATTGAATGTTGTAATCTTACTAATACATGTTACTTTGTGCTTTTGTTTAATTAGTGAGACATTCACAGTGGAAGATGTTGTTCTGTGTCGAGTGTAGGCTGTTTTATGTGGAGAGATTTTGAAAAACAAATACCAACATTTTTTTAACCCTCAAACCCGAACTTTTTTTGTGACGTTAATGCCCGAACGGGGTCCATTTGGACCCCATTTGGTTTCTTTCAAATTTATATTCCTTTTTGCATCCTTTCAGTGACCTTTGCACATATATTGGTTAAACATATTAAGACGTTTATTTTGACATGATTAAGTGTTTAAAAATTCCAGCTCATTATCATAATTTATGCAAAAATAGGATGAGGCCTGCATGCATAACCATGGGGTTGACCTATGACCTCATGATTTTCAAATTGTCAAACCTCTTAAAACCTGATGAAATAATTCCTGGGGTGGAGGTTACTTGGCAAACTGCATAATATTAAAGCAATAATGCTTCCTTGAAGACATATTGAGGACATTCGAACAATTTCGTGTGTAGGAAAGTGCAAATACATGGCTGGGGGTCCGTTTGGACCCCGGACGGTGTTACATCAGACCTCCGTTGTTATTTTTACAAATTTGTGCCGAACTCCAAAAAAATTTAGGAGAACTTGTAGAAGAGGTTTACTGACAAAGTCACGGGATGAATTTTTTTAGAATAGAAAAAAATTATAGCACATAAAAATATACGTCTGGGGTCCAAATGAACCCCGTTCGGGTGTTTGAGGGTTAAGTATAACTTTTAAGTATTATTTCGTTCTTTTTCCAAATACCAATATTGCGTATTACTAAGCTTTTGTTATTTTGAATTTTATTATGTTGTGTTGACTGTATGGACACCAGGAAGAATAGCGTATATGTAAAAACCACGAATGGAGATCCCAATAAAACAACAAACTGGGGGAAATCATATCACTGCAATAATGATTCTCATCAGTTCATTCTTTGCTATGTTTAATACGTTTTTGGCTACATATTCTGTACTTCTGTTTGCTCTAGTATTATAGGTGCCATGTAGACTTAAATCAAATTTGTACTAGCAAGTTTTGATACACAGGTCTTAACAATATCGTCCATAAAAGTTGGACGGTTTCCTTCCTTTCAAAGTAGAACTACATTTAGATTTGCTATGACAAGCATGTATTTGTTATAAAAGAAACATGGGAACATAGATATTGTCTTTTTAGTGTAAATATAAAATTCTTATAATTTGTATATTGTGGGGGACATTATAACAGGCAAGAGGATGTAACTGGCAGACCACATCCTACGCCTATCAAGTCAGCGCCACTCAAAGACTGCCGTGACCTGGATGCCATCAGGGGGCAGAAGGAAGAGGGGTCGGCCAAAGAACACCTGGTGAAGAACCTTTCAGGAGGACCTCAAGAGGGCTAACATCACCTGGGGAGAGGCCGAGGAGCCAGCAGACACTCGACACAGATGTAAACCTGCTGCCCAGTGTGCTGGTAGGCACAGGAGGACCTAAGGTCTAAGGTAAAGTAAGTTAAGTTAGACGTGACTTACATCGCATTGTTCCAGCCCCCATCGTTCGTTATTTTCGTCCCAAGACGAACAGCCGACAGCTGACATCTGCAGCCTGTAGTCGGGGGTTCTCTCCCGGTTTGGTTCTTCAGGTGAAGAACCGGCACGATCTGAGAACAGCACAATGAACAAACGTTGTAAGTTAACCTGTCTGTAAAATTGTGGGGCCATGTGGCATAACGACAGAGTGGCATTCTGTTCAGAACCAAGAGGTCCCGGGTTCGAATCCTTCCAAGTAACCGACATTGACACTTAAAACCACTTGGCACTTCACTCAAGTGAAAATGAGTATGTCAGAATGATCACTATCATGATTGTTGGCATTAAAGGAAAACCAAACCAAACCAAAATAAGTTAAAATTAAAGATAAAAGATATGACACTTTAAATCATTGAAATTTACCTATTTTCAATACACCAATGAACAGAACACCACCACGGCGTGTGGTGTTGGGTGTGAATGTGACAGTGAAGTCCTTCTCTGCAAGCCAGGCCTCTAACCCGCCTTTAGCCCGGATGACTCTCTTCTCGGCATACTTTTCTACGGTAGGTTTGGACCCGTACAAAGAGTACACGTGAAAGGTGGCGTCAATGTCCCACCAGCTCATGTGCAGGACAGGGATGACGTTTCCATCCGGGATGCTGAAGCGGTGGTGCGTCATCGTAGTCCTGTTGCCTCCATTGACGCTGCTTTCCGGACTCTTTTCTCCTGGCTTATGAATGAATGAATGAATGAATTACGTCTAGAGAGATACAGTACACTCGTCCCCTGAGTGTATAGGAATGAGCCCCAGGTTCACAGAAAGTAGGGCCATCTAGGGCATAGAGGTCTTCCCAAGGGTTTCCAGGAATGTGGGCATACATGTGGGTCAGAGACATGCCTATGGACATTCCATTGCTGTGGACAAAATGCCTGCGCCATTCCTAGAATTCTTGCAAACTGCACACAATACTGTACCATTAGGCTCCTCCCTGAGACGTCGCCAAAAACTGGCGTTTGGAATTAGGCATTAGGCTCCTTACCCATTACCACTTAATATCCTATCTTTGCTATTTAACTAATAAGTATATAAAACACAAGAACACTACCTTACCTTGTGGGTGGTCATGTGTGGTGCGTCTGTTGTCAGCCCTCTTTCTTGCAATGGTTCAAACGGGATGTCCAGGTTTACTTGCTTCTCTTCCTTAAGGCTTCCTGGTTCTCCTTGTCTGTTAGGTTTGGGTCCTGTTCCGGATTCTCTTGAATACATCGACAGAACCGTAACGGGTGACGAGATGTTCTGTCCTCCTGTCGACTGTTTCCAGGAGTACGGATTCTTTTTGAAACTCAGCATCTGAAAAAAAATAATGATGATTATCATATAGCGACGTTTACCAATCAAAAGGCTCCATTCCACATTCCTTATGACGCCGTATTGTCACAAATAGAGTCAAAATAAGGTCCTTATTCTTTCCAATCCATACATGAAACAACCCAATAATCATATGCATATGACCCCAGGTGACCCAAATAGAACACCGCTCTGTCATAAAAAAATCCAAAAATCACTCAGTGGCTTCTTTCGGTGGTTATAGCAACTGACAAGGCTTTATGACACCATATTCACCTCGGGGCGGGTCATTAACCCTTAATTAATCCATAAAAGAATACATTTTACAGAAAATTGCTTTCTCTTTGGTACTGAATGGCATTCACATCATCAGGCATTTTTCCAACTCCTATATATGTGTGCAACAATGCTAGGTGAATAGCTTCATGGATTATTTTTCAGAACCCAACATCTGAATGATGGAACTAAAAAATACATTTTACTGAATAATGTGTAACTACTTCCTCCTTGGTGCTGAACAGCATTCACATGGTCAAATATTTTTCCACCTCCTCTATAATACCTTGATTACACTGATGCTAGCTTAATTTGACTTGTTATGGTAATAGATGAAACATTTTTCTTCCTCATATCTTTATATTCCTGAGATTACGTGCTGGGTAGGTCATATCAGTTCAATTAATTAAATCGGGAATTTGCCTGCTTTAGTTGTTTTCTGATGTGCAAAAAAATAAAAATAAAAATTATATTTTCCCACCTCCTATATAATACATTGATTACACTGATGCTAGCTTAATTTGGCTTGTTATGGTAATAGATGAAAAATTCGTCTTCCTCATATCTTTATATTTCTGAGATTACATGCTGGGTAGGTCATACCAGTTCAATTAATTAGTTCGGGAATTTGCCTGCTTTAGTTGTTTTCTGATGTGCAAAAAAATAAAAATAAACCAAAAGATTCAGGTTCCGAATCAACTCCAAACTTGTTGCGTTTGAGGCTGTCAGGAGATGTCTGTTTTTATCTTGATTTTTCGCCCCCTATTGCTTTTTTTTTCTTTAAAGACCCGAGAACAAACAAGTAAAATTGGTGTGGCCTAATGTGGCATACAGTGAAAAAGCAGTACCTTGAGATCCAACATGTCGTTAGTTTTACTTCCACTTGATGCGCCAGGAATAGTTGCAGTGGTGTGACCGTTGCCGAGGTGCAGGTCTTTGTTGGATGGTGACCTTGACACGGTCACCCCAACGTTTCCCGTCCCAAGCGTTGCCTGATATTCCGCGTCGGCAGGCTGCAATGCCAACAGTGTGCCGGCAACACTGTCCAGAGATTTCACGATATTCCTCGCTGCCCGTTTTTGCTATCAGGTTAGAAAATGTATAAGGTTAGAACCAGTATGGCATCTGACCAGCTCAGAAAAGAACAAGAAATAGCCATGCCTTATAGTACCAAAGTTATCAACCAAGGATTGAGGTGTTCAAAAACACATTCTTTCCTAGAACTATCGCTTTAAACAATATTAAGAGTCAGATGTCAAACGTTAGGTGTATCAAGTGGTTCGGTGTAATATAACTATCTGCCGTCGTGCCACGTGCCTGCAAAGTGTGTTATGCCGAAGGTAGGTTATACAGGCTCTACAGATAAAGATACATAAAATTAGCAATGGAGATTAATAAGGCTTCATTATTAGCAATACAGGCAATGTTGTTCTCATTTCAATAGCGACTGCATGCTTTGATATCTTAAGAAATGGTCCATACCATGTCTTCTTTCTCCTTCTGCTTGTCTTTGAGCATCTTCAGCTGCTGCTTCGGAGAAAGGTCAGCGGAGTTCACGTCAATCAAGTCGCTTTCAAGGATGTTTGAGCTACCGGTAGTCTCAATCGGTGGCTGTTGCTCTGGTAGCATGT